GCTGTTGTATTGGGCTTACGCGGCAAGGTTTTGTTAGCTGGGGCAGGGCAGGGGGCAGGGGTGCAGGGGTGGGTTCTGCAAGACCCATCCCTGTAGCCCCTGCTCTCCACGCTGAGTGGTCTCCATGGGCGGGGCCTGTCGCTAGGGGTGGTGCCATTCTAGTCACATGACTACCATGTACCTAAGATGATACTTTGGTGTCTTGTAGCTCTTACAACATATGCTTCATAGATGCATGACATCACACGCTGAAATAAATGGATGTATAATACTCTTTGTTACAAACACATAACATGGCTTTAGATGCGGGTGATCTGATGGCTGTTTAACAATGATCCTTCCTCATCAGATTTTCTCTTGTTTGGAGATAGAGACAGCTCTCAGTTCAACTCATTTTTTCAGCCAGCTTACTTTCTGATCTCTTCAATTTCAGCCACAGCAATTAATCTAAAATTAGGCATTATATCTTTCCCTTTTCACATATGCAAATATTATTTAAAAAAACTCACAGAACCAACCAAAGCAAAGCTAAGCCAGATACAGTTAATGATATCCACAGAGTAGTAAAGGATCACTTAGTCCTCGGTGCAGGCCTTAGGAGACAGAAATACCAAACAATTGTTATCAGTAGTTTTCCTAGCTAGCCAGGTAGGAACACCTCCTTCTGTAGGAGTTCTTGGTGATACCAAGGGCCTGCTACATTGCATTTTTGCTTCCTTATTTCATCCGATTCAGTCACCATAACTCAGAAAAAACTGCTCGGCTGTTTTTCCCTCTTTGTCAGCATTTACTATTATCGATTCCGTTGCTATAAATGATACACTTTGCATTGTAAATGATATGTTTATACCTATATTTATGTTTTCTCTTTACTGTGTTCTTTTTTGTTTTTCTTAAAGGAAAGGTCTTAATACATCGCTTGCCATCCCACATTGCAGGGTAAACTTCTTAGAAACATCAAGTATAGCAGTTAAGCTTTGACTATTACACAACTAGGAGCATCCCCTAATCTTTACCTGCACGATCGCCTATAAATGTTATTTTTATTCTAATTCAGTATTATTCTGCTGTTCAGCATTCTCTCAAACCCTCATAAACATGCTTAACTCACAGTTCTGTCATTCTTTAGGTACACGCACGGCAGGATGTATTGTGCATGCCTAAACCTGCTGGCTGCAATGCCGCCTTTGACGCAGGGAAGGGCAGAAGAGAGCATCCCCTTCCAAACTGCACTTGCGCGAGGTTGTTTGCGCTGCTGGGTTAAAATCAGCAGGGGGGGCAGCGAGAAGCGCCGCGGGCTGCAGCGTGCACGTGTGGCGCAACTGGCCACAGCGCTAAAGGATGCTCCACAGAGGGCAGCCAGTAACCACGGGAGGGTGCCATGCCCTCGTGCATGTGCCGGGCACGTGCAGCACCGGAGGGGAGGCGGGAGGTGGCAGCAGTGTAGCACGGGCAGCCGCACTGCTCCTGCACGAGACCTCTGCCGGTAACGCTGCGTGAGCTTTCCGGTGGCCTGCGCGGAACCGCTCACCGAATGGCCACTGAGGGACGGGGTGGCGAGGGGCCGTTGGGGCCGGGCTGAGGGGAACTGAGAGGTGTCCCCACGCCCAGGCCTGGCCTTCGGTGTGGCAAAGGCCTTTGGGAGTCCCCTGTGTCCCGGGCTGACCCCGGCTATCCTGTTTGTCACCCGCAGGTGCCGGCCCTGGGGCAGGGTCTGGGGTGAGCGAGGGCTGGTGGCAATTACCAGACAAGGCTTGGGGATTGTTGGGTGGCCGCTGGGAGTGCTGGGGACAGTGAGTCAGGCTTTAGCATGTTTTAGGGTTGATGGGAGCTTTGGGACAGGGTTTGGATAGCGTGTGGGGACAGTTGGACGCTTTGGGGCAGGGCTGGATGAGTTTGGGGGTTGGTGGAAGTTCAGAGTGACAGCTCAAAGCACTGAGGGCCTTTGTGCAGGTGTTTGCATTCTCCTGACTGCTCTGGCCTTGTGATAGGTTGTAAAAGTGTGCAGAGATAAGCCTGCGGTACTTGGCGGCGGTGTGCAGCCATTCCCTGATATTCTAGGGCTAATGCAATTTATAAACACACACATACTATTACCATAGGGTGTTAAAGCCAGACTAAAATTTCTGCAACTGCAATCAACCTGTTCAAGTCAGACAAGATCAGCTGTACTCACCGGTGCCTATTGGTCAAGCAAGGCTAGCAACTGGTCCAAAGCAATATTCTTTGATGTATCTCAACTCTGCAGTCTCAACTCAGACTCTCTGTTATGGCATTATAAGTTTGTCAGCCAGCACTTCTCGATGGACATGTAGCAAATCCATCACCCCACAGAAACATAAAGGAAGCAAAAATCAATGTCCTGCAGAAAAACATGAAAAAAATAAAGTTAGTGTATAAGCATACAGGACAATCTAATATGCACAAGCAAGGTGAAAGAGAATATTACAAGCCACAGACAGACCTCCCACTCGCCCCCTTTTAGAGGGAGAATAGGATGATATTTGGGCTTCTCGTAGGAGAAAAGGAAGGCCAGTTAGGTTAGACTAAGAAGCCTTTAGAGGTTGATTTTTCTGGAGCTTTGTGTCCACATTTTGGACATAACTGTGCTCTACCCGTCATTCAATTAATGCACAAGTAATTAATGCACACCTGTACAGTAATCACTGTGTGCTAATATTAGTGCCTGCTGTGCCACTTGGGTGGATGGTACTCTGCTGTCTACTCATTTCCGTGAAATTAGGTACTTCAGGAGGGTCTAAGCAGACTGGATTGCAACCAGGCTATCGAGGGCGAAAGACTGCTATAGTCCAGACTGCTGCGTGAAGTTTTGATCCAACCCCAAAGTAACGCAATTCCAATACTATTGGTACTCACTTGCAATCACTTCTGCTTTGTAACAGTGCTGCTCCCATAGTATCAGTGAATGTGAAAATCTTTATTGGAAAAGGCTTCCCTTGTCTCAGGAATTTTAAGGCATGAGTTTTTACAACTGCTTATTTAAATACAGTGAAAGCAGCAGCATATTCCTTGTTCCAGCTCCATTCCACTCTTTTCCAGTAATTTTCATTGTGGTCTGCTGATACCAGCAAAGTTACCTTGCACTGCTGTGAAAAATGAAATTCCCCGGAAGCTGCTTTAAATTGGAGTTGAGAAGAAGCAGCTTATATTCCACACAAAGTTTTAATCTTTCTTCTATCTGTCTTCCCATTTCCCCAGTTACAATTCCTGGGGTAGCACTAATTGAGCCTTACTGAAATTGATCTCTCAACTTTATAATTTAGATAGTTCTCCCACTTCCTCTTCCATAGCCTCAGTCACTTGACAACCATCTACCTAGGACAATAACTCGGTGCCCTGTAGCTTTTAAAAGATAATGCGTCATGACACACAAATATATGTGTATGTATCGTACTTTGTGTTACGTGTACAGACTTTGCAGTACATGTTGGTGAGCTATTCTCCTAATCACCAGGAGAAACTTGGTTTCTCTTGTTTGGAGATGGAGGTAGCTTTCAGTTGAATCTGTCTGATTTTATTACCTTGGTTGGTTTGTATTTGTCTGCTGTGTTCAACTTCAGCCATGACAATCTAAAAACTAAGCATGGTATCTTTATGTTTCAACATATGGATGTAAGATTACAAACAGAACCAACTGAAGCAAAGCCAAGCAAAATACAATTAGCAACAGTGACAGGTGCAAGTGGGAGACAGAAATAACAAACAATTGTTATCAACAGTTACCTTAGTTAACCAGGCTGGAACACTTCCTTCTGTAGGAGCCTCTGGTGATATCACAGGTCTGCTAAACCCGTTCACGGATCTTCTGTCTGTTATCTTTTAACATTTGCTGTCACTGGCTCCATCTCTATAATAAACAAACATTTACAACAATAAACAAAAATGTAACTGAGATGCTGTTAAATTTATGCATGTTCTTTTTTCTTTAGCATGGTGGTGGTTTATTTTCTGTTTTGTTCTGTTCTCCTCAAAGGAAAGGTCCTAATACATCACTTGCCATCATGCACTACAGGGTTAAAATTTTGGAAACATTAATTACAGCAATTAACCTTTGGTTATTAGACGGGTAGGAACATCATCCTATACTCACCTGCAACATCTTCCATAAAACACTGATTTTATTCTGGTTCCATATTATTCTACTATTTGGTATTCTCTCTCAAACACTTACAAAAACATACTTAACCCCTAGTTCTCTCAATCTTTACCTACAAGATGGATGACATTTAATGAGCTTCCAGGAACTGTAGGCCATTATTCAACCAAAACCAGATCCATAGGTGAAAGAACAGCGTCGACCCTCTCAAACAAAGCTACCGCTATCTAAATTCAGGAACTCCTCTTACAAAAGCCTGTATAGCACTGTTGTTATTATTGGATAACGCTCAGTGGAGCAATAGTATATGAAAGGGCACTGATTTATTTACAGTCATTTCAGAGGGTTCATCTCGCTGTCCTCCTTCCAAAAGTGTTCATAGCATTGAGTGTGGTGACTAAAAAGTCAGCAAAAAACCTGAGTACCCTTCATGCCTTAACAAGTGAGTGAGCTAGTTTACACTGACGGACTTTCATTGGTAAGGAATGCTATTCTGTCAGAATCACCAGTGGAAAAGTCCCTCCAAAAGCAATTTCAGTGTGACAGGTACAGTACTTAGCCCAGGATCCTCTCTATAGCTTGCCACCTGTTTGAGACACTGTACTTCCCTTGTCTAGCTCATTTGTGTGACCTGATGTACTTCCATAACGCAAAGATTTGTAACAGAAACATTAAGGGTGAAATGAATAAATGACATGCAGAAACACATGTGTGAAATCACAAGAAAAAAAGGGACAAAAGAATGGCGTGACTTGACAGCACCATCAGGTCACGGAGATCACGGTCAAGTCTTGAAACACACAGAGTAGGAAAACAAAGGGCAGCCTAAAACTAGACTACTCACAGAACAGGAGACAAAAGGACAGGCAGTCAATCAACAATATTGCTTAATGACTCACAGACCTGGATCCCTGAAGGGTACAAAAGGCACTTCCAAAATGAGCACATGGTCACCCAGCAAAAGGAACCCAGGAAACATGATGATGACTCCAAATCTGGTATCCTTTGTCCTCTGTTTCACCACAAGTAATCCTGGTTGGACTAGCCAGACATACACGTCTTGGTCCTTGTTAAAATGTGGGTGTGGAAAACAAGTATAAAAGACTGACAATGAAATCTATAGGAGAATGAGTATGAGTGACTGAAATTAGTTTTGTTTAAAAGAAAATCACCTCCCCCTTCTATACAGTCTCACTATAGCTTTGCTATATTCATTTTACATCAGTAGCTGCTCCCAGTTGATTATTTTAAAATTTCAATAAAACCTAATAGTGTGTGCTTACAGAAGAATGTCAAAGAAGAGAGAGATCTATTTAGGGAAGCAAGGACACAGCAAGCTTGAAATAGCTTGCGTTTTTGAGGCAATGCTTTTTTCCCTCTTTTGCCCAAAGGAAGAGACTTGGTACACTTACAATTTCTGCTATTACAGCAATACCTTCTTATGTCACAGGTCACAAAGAAGAAATAACTGTTAAAACGAGTTGGTTTCTCAAAACTAGCCCCAACTATGAAATTACAGGAAATGTGCTAAACATTTTTGTACAGTGACACATGCACAACTGTGCTAATATGAGCAACCTGAACATAGGGAGGGCCAAGAGAATGAGTATTTCTGTTCACTTGAATACAGTGAGACTTAGAAACCAGATTTCAGATGTAAAACATAAATTGCAGGTTAAAAAGCCCGGCAGAATTCATGGCTTCTCATAATGCTATTGAGTATTTTAAATTGAATTGAAAGAAGAAAGCCAGAATAATTTGCAACAGTCAATGTTGTTACTGTTAATACCAACAGCAATAGTTTAAAAATTGCGGTATATTTGGTACCAGTGACCTGTTCTTTCGCTGGGTAGCCACTGGGTCATGACAGGGGTTATTCTGCTAAACACAAAGGATAAATTACTGCAGTATCATTTATGATGAGGTAATTTGCTCAAAAAATTTCCAGCAGGAAACATTATTCCAATACTTTTATCATAAAAGAGGTGATTAAATAGGACAAAAAGGCTGACAGTAATGTACTGGGATGGGACTTAGGATATCAGATTACTTACAGTGTCAAGTCATGGCACCCATCTTGCTGATTTCCCCACCTATAAAATAGGGATACTATTCACTACAGACATTAGCTTTAAAAAAAAAAAAAAAAAAAAAAAAAAGGAAAAGAAAAAAAAAAAAGAGTTCAAGGTAAGCTGATAGTGTTGAGGATGTTCTTCCTATGAAATTATTATGCTTCCAGGGACACAAACGGCATAGTATCGAAGCTATAATATCTGCAAACATGAACGTGTTACTTATCCATGTCCTTTCCTGTCTTTTGCAGTTAAAAGTGGCTTCAGACTTTCAAAAATAAATCCTGTCCAAAATAGTAGGTTTCTGCTATTGCACCTATCTCATGGTTACAAATGACAACAGCCACCATTCTCTTACGATGGAAAGTATTTGCCTTCTTTGTACAGCTAGAGAAGTTTCATTTGTCTCATCCATAAAAGGAAAGAAACCAGGCAGCTTTTTAATGCTTTAACGCACCTTTAAATCTGCAGTGAGACTCGCTTAATTCTCTAAAATGCAAATATAGGCTGATCTGTTGCCTTGGAGATAAACCTCAGAAAGTCCCTTCGTTTGATGTGTTTCTTGCTCGATGATTTCCTCTCAAATCTTGTTCACTCTCTTTACTTCAGTCAGACTCGCAGATTCAGTCTAGTTTGGGAACTAAATGGGTTATACTCTATTTTAGCCATAGTCATGCATTCCAAACTGACTGGATGCATTATTGCAGAGGAAAACTCAAAACAAGAACAGGATGGCCTCAAAGCTAAGTAAGATGCCACACTGGTGGCCAGAAATGTCTTCAGCCTGATTTGAAACAGAAAAGTCGTGTGACTGTGAGTAAAGACGAGCTGCAGACGCAGCACTTGTGTACAGTGCTAGATTCTGCAGAACGGGTTTGGTTAGTTTAGGTTAATGTGGTGCCAGTCACTGGAGAGAAAACCTTCTCAAAGCCATGAAACAGTGCTTGTGGCCCAGTATACTGTGGGCATGACCTGTTCCTTGGCACTCGCAGATTCCAAAGAATTCTCTTTCAGAGGCAGTGTCAGACACAATTATCCACTATGGAATATACAATGAACTCCTAACTAGATACAGCCCTTCTAAACCCCTAGGCGCCTGTCTGACTGCCTCTGCTGCAAGAATATAGAATAAGGAAAGGGACAGAGATGCACAGTAGAGCTGTGGGGAGTGCCCAGGAGAAAAGGCGCGGCTGCTGTGAGAGGAGGCGTGGATGGTAACCACTGCTTCTGGGAGAGTCATCCCCTACTCCTGAAGTAGTTGCCACCCCTGACAGCAGTAACAACTGTTGGGACTTTCCAGCACTCTGACGCAAAGAAAGAAGGCGTCTTGCTGACTCCCGAGCAGCCTCTGTCCTTGGCAGTTTCCTACTTTGCTGACTGTTAGAGCTGGACTTGAAGTTCAGCTCTCACTGGTCCACTGCCAAAGGAGCTGGCAAATTGTGGAATGTTACCTAAAACATCCTAGTTATGCACAGCCAGTGTACAGCGCTACATGATTTCCTGCTAAAAAGAGAAAAGGTCTAGCTATGAGTCAAAGGATTTGCAGACCTAGATGCAAGCCCATAGTTCCAGGTGAAGTAGAGCTTTAAATTCTTAGGAGAAATTCAGCATTCTCAAAATACCAATGCTATTCTAGTGGTACTGTTGCTGTAGCTGTAATGGTCTAAGGTTACACAACAAAAAAAGATTCGCGGGGTGAAACAGTTGCTTATCAGGCCATCTTTAATTTCTCTATGTCTTTTTTATCTCAAATGTATGAATTTTTCATCTTCCTCTCCACTTCCTGCTGTGCTCCATGCCAATTTTTGTTCTCCTTAATTCTGCTCCTTAGTCGTTCACACTGGTTTGGCTTCTCTCTAGTAACAATATTGTCTTCCATTTCAAACAATTGATTCTGCTTGCCTTTCCATCTATTGCAGCATTTTCCTTGTTATCAGTTCACTGGTCGTATTATTTGCAAGTCCCTTGCAAGTTCATTCCATACACTCCAATACTACCCTTTCTAATTAGAGATTCCACCCATCAGATTGTTATGCAGCCTCTCTTCGCAAGATTTCAGATATGCCCATTTTTATCCATCTGCACAGCTAAACATCTTGTCCAGGGTCTTGTTATTTTACATCCCATTATGACACCATTCCTTTGTTATGGATGAACAAATATAGTCTTGTGGGATGAGCAAATGCTTAACAAACAAACAAACGAACAAAAATTGCAGTAATAAAAAATAGATTGGGAAATACTAAAAATCATTGCCACCACTTTATTCATAGTATATTCCTCCTGCTGCATCATGTTCAATTCTTTTTCCTTTATATCAAAAAGTATGCAGAAGAAATTGAGTGAGTTTCAGAAAGCATGACACATTCAAACTAAGATATCAGCATGAAAAGAGACTGAAAAGTCTGAAATTATGTAATTTAGAGGATTACAATATCATATTGTAAGAAAGACATGATATTATAGAGGAATACAAAGCATGGAACGATAAAGTGAAGCAAAGCCATCGGTACATTTTAACCCCAACAGTGTAAGAACTAGTGGATCTTAAATGAAGAAAGGAAATGTTTAGAATGTTATTTACACAACTCATAATTAGTATGTGAAACTCATTGCTCTAAGGTACAAAAACACCGATGAACTTTAATGGATTCTTAAAAGGAGGCAGCTCTTCTCTGCACAAGAAAAAGATGTGGTTATTTTCAGGTCACTTATGTAAATTCCTTCTTTCATGAAACAAGTACCCAAGTGACTAAAGGTAGGACAGATTTTTCCCTTCACCAGATAACTGAAAAAGACTGCTGTGGGATTTCCTAGTCATTCTTGCAAACTGGCTTATACCGGCAGAAACAGGAATCTCAGCTGCTGCAATACTAGACAGATACAGTGCTGACATTCCTCTATTTCTGTGTGATACATTCTATCGCTTCTTTGAAATGAGCCATTCTTAAGATGAACACGACATGCAAGAAGTCTGCAGGCTTCTGTGTCGTATTAGTCAGGAACTTGGTAACCCTCCACCATAGGACACAATGTGAAGCTCATTCACTGTGCGTAAGTCAGTCACAGCAATGAAGCAATAGCAAGGCAAATGAGACAGAATCAACACTGGACACAGAATACTTAGTTTCCCTACTAAGGCCCTCTCTACATCATAAAGTTCAGCATCAAGTACCAAGAGTACGCAACAGGCGGAAAAAGTGTCAGTGTCACGGCTCTGACATCAAAATAAATTCCCCACGGACAGCTTAACTACACACACATATTTTATCCTTGACAAATGTGCATTCAGTCCATTCTTAATCTCCATGGAAAAAATTATGCACATTTTTACAACCTACCCAGAGGGTCTAGCTGAGTACTTTTTTTCACTGCCAATATTTTTATTTTGTGCTTCACTTCAATGTCTTTAATCACAGACTAAAGTTTTTAAGACCATGACTCCTCAGCTGGCCTTCTCTTTCTATAACCGCTTTTCACCTTTTTCAAAAATCATCATCATATCTCTGCACTTGCCTCTGTTTTAGACTGATCCAACTTGATCCTTCTGCTTTTTTTTTTAAGCTTTGCATTCTCTGTATTCTTGACATTATCCAGCTGAGGTTATCCCAGGGCTAACATAGTACTTCAGCTGAAGCCTTACTAACCGTAGAAAGAGCATATTTAACAAACTTCAAAGCTCCAAGGCAGCTTTTAATGGCGCTTCAGCCACTATGCCCTTCCAGTTTGACAGTGATCCATTGAAACAATGCAACATTTGTTTTTTCATAATGTTATGCAGTTAACTAATAGAAATCCTGTGTAATCAGTGTTTCCAAAGTGTGCTGATGAAAACACCATATGGGATCTTGCTGCAAATCAAAATCGGCATGTATGATAACTGCCGCTTCTTACTTCTCTGGTGTATTGATCTGTCAAGGAAAAAATTAGATGGGTTTGACTGACTTCTTGGCAACTCCATGCTAGCTGTTAATCATCTTCTAGATGCTAACAAGTTTATCTATTTCAGTATTTTTCGGGAATTGACATCAAACTAGTAGACATCAACTGTAATTTCTCTGCTCTTTCTCATGCCTCTTGCCTCATTTCATGCATAGATATTGTCTTGTCCATTTCTCAACTTATGAAATTTCCACCCTTCAAGTTCTTCAAGGTAAGCACTAACATTCCTGAGATTGCTTCAGTCTCTTCTCCTCACTGTAGGTAAGCGAGATGAAGTAATAATAAAATGAGAAAAAGATACCTTATTCAAATCTCTGTAAGTGTAAGGAAATGGAAGTTTGTAATGAAGAATTTGCCTGAAAAAAAGAAAAATTGTGAGGCCATGCTAACTAAAGCATTTTCTTTGTATGTATAAAATGTCCTGTATGTACAGATCAAAGTATGTTAACATTTATTGTTCTGTCCTTATAGTCAGAAAGTAGACGAGTAACCACCGTAGAAGCTCCAGCTGTACTTGTAATTTGTACCTGCTACAAAATGAGCATTTATTTTATGAGGATAAAGTTTCTCTTTGTGCAGGGAGAGCTACCACTTGAGATCCACTCTTCAGAGCTATTCAGCATTCAGTGGTTTGTCAAGTTAAGAGTAGCTAACATTACATTTACAGCATTAATACCATTAGTATAATTCACAGAGACTCTAAGGAGGGGCTGACATGAAGGCATTACTGTGGTGATCCCCAAAAAAGGACCGATGAGGTAAATTAAAAGTTTGGGGTTTTTTCCAGACTTATGAGTACACTCATAGGGAGGGAACCCTGCTAATTTTATTATGAATATATATTTTTATTGCATGAATACTCATCTGGTGATCATGCTGGGAAAAGATATTAATTCATACTGACTCAAAAAAAAAATCCCTTTCCGAGTGACACATCATTGTATGTGAAATTCTGGATTCCAGGTATGCAATTAAATGCTCTACTTTTCTAAGCACCTCAGCCAGCCCTCTGGATAAATAGCCTGAATTGCATAAGTGCAATGTATTAAAACCCATGAGCTAATATATGGTCACTAGGA